CATAAACCTTGAATTTGATGTTAAAAATATGTTTTAATGATTCCAAAATGATCTATGAACCTTGGAGAACATTTCTATATAATTTAATTGAAGTTTGGTGATTAAAAATGATAATACTCGAAACTGACCAGAGGAAGAAGATGATGAACAGTAGCCGAAAATCGATTATTTACTCCTAAGAATCGATTAGAACTTTGTTCAGATGAGGTGCTCGAAGTCAGAAAAACATAATCGATTATTTTATTAAAATAAATCGATTTTTATTATATAATCGATTATTTATAATTTATAAATCGATTTTAGTTAAATAATCGATTATTTATAAATTATAAATCGATTTTTAATTATTAATCGATTATTATTCATTAAATAATCAATTTTTCCACATTTTTTTATATATAAATAGATTATTTTATATTAAATCAACTTCAATTCGAGTTACTGCTTGGAAAAAAATATTTCTCAAATTATGCTCTAAAATCCTACTTTTGATACCAACTAATTATAGACAATATAAATATGATTTTGTACAATAAAATGATGTTTGACATATAAAAACATAATGTGATGCATGACGCTAAGTTCGGGTGTTAACACTCGATACTAGGCCACTATTTGTTATTAGATTTTATGATTGTTTGACTATTGATTAGGATAAATTAATTATGTTGAATACTCTGAATGACGATCATGAATTGTTAAGTTGAGAATAATGAATTAATGAATATATTGTTAACGCTACTTAGAAGACCTCTAAGATAGACCTCTGATTAGAATGGGCCTTGCGAGTATAAAACGTATATTCGGTGGCCTTGGGTAAAAACGTACGAACGAGATCCATAACCAAACTAGAGGAACTCGTTTGGGGATACCACCCAACCCGACAGTTAGTATCCTACTATTCGGTTTTCTGGATTTGTACCTTAAGCGAAGGCTAGTTTAAGAGTTGGTAAATCAATCGGAATATATGTACCTTAAACTAATGACCTAGCTTAAGAGTTGGATAGAAGTACCTTAAACTAGAACTAGTTTAAGAGTTGGTAAACATCAAATAAATTGGTCTTAGACTAATAATAGTTTAAGGATATCATTTAATGAGGATGTTGAATATGAATATTGAATGACGAATATTGATTATTGTATATTTGAACTGAATACTCTGTGCATGATATCAAATGATTTGATTATGAATTTGGATTCAATTTATGTGGATGTTCGACGCTTTAGATATGCTTACTCAGCTTCACCGCTGAGCGTGTAGTGTGTTTTATTTGCTACACGCAGGTAGGCAGAACGAGTAATTGACATGTTCCTGGCAGCAGAAGGGGCGAGGCGATCGTGGTGGATTTATGATTTAAAATGATTAAATTAAACTGTTATGAGACATCTAAATTGCTTCCGCATTATGGTTAAAAACTGCGTAATTTATTACTGTTATGTATGCAATATTATTTTATGATAAATAAAGATGTTAAAATGTTTTAAATTTTTACGATTACCAAGTTTATACTTTAGTCCGAAAGGGGCTGCAGACCTGGACGGATTAGGGTGTTACAGTTTGGTATCAGAGCAAATGGTTTTAAAACCGATCTTCGGATCAAAATTTGAATTAAAAAAAATGTGTCAGTCACATCCACGACTCTCGCATCCCTCTGCTCCAGGAAAGGTATAAGAATTTATTAGATAAATATTGCCTTTGTTAAAATTCTCATTAAATAACAATTGATTAGTGCTGAAACTGTATCGAGCATAGACTCTAGTTGAACTTTTGTACTCGGTGAAGAGACGAAAGAATAAACGATATGTTTATAATCTCCTGATACGTTATCAACGTACATTTCGCATCGCAAATGACGAAACTGATCTGCATCGCAAAATTGTACGAAAGTGAGACGACTATGAAGAAACGATAAATGTTGAGAAACATCTGTGAAGCTGATGTCAAAGATCCTCATGTGGAATCAAGACGATCTAATCGCTGATTCAAACACGAACGTTTAGAATCAATAAACTCTGTTATCTAAAGTATCCGATATTATTGTTTGACTCATTAGGACACATTATGCGATTACTTAATGTGAATCAAAATCGTTCATTAAGCGACAATTCTTTGTAAAACATCGTTGAAGTACCATACAAGGAAATCGACATTATCCTTAGTATGCATTAACGGACTGAACGTCGTTGCTGTTGTCAACTTATGATGAAGAATTCCTCAACTAAAGACCGATGATGGTAAACTCATAGAGGTGAAAGAAAATCTGATATCTAAACCAACCGAATTCATCTCGAAAATATATATACGAAAACATCTCAAATAGAAGAAGTGTGAAGTCTACGCGGAAAGAAACATCTGAACTGAAGTAACGTATCGAAAGTATGTTACCTCTCTGATATGAACTTCCTAATATTTCACCATTCCGAGAAATTGAATTCTCTATCAATCTTGATCCTAGAAAGGACCAATATTCAAAAGGTGGCTTACGTGATTGAGAGGAGGTTTTGGAGATTTTAATATATTCTCCTACTCCGTAAATGATAAACTGGCTAAAATGGTACGCGTTTTTTCGCCCAAACTGCTCCGAATTGAAAACGGATTGTGTTTTTGGAATCAGATTGTCAAAATTAGAATTTCGACGTAATCAAAATATTTTTCAGAGAACTTTTATTTTTTTCTCAGTGTTCGGGTCTGTCTCAATCATAAATTAATATAATAATATAAATGATATAAAAATATATGAATTAAATCCAAATGATTAATATGATATTGTCAAGTGTCAAAAATTAAGATTTCTAATCTTAAAAAATCACTTTTGAATTGAGTTTCTTTTATGGGTCAAAGTTACAAATTTTAATATTTAAAATTAACATAACTTGAAATCTATAAATCAGATTGGTTTATAAAATGTACCATTGGATTCGTCTCTTCGAGACATATCCATAAATATAACTTTTTAACAAAAAGTCATTATTTTGAAAATCCATTTATTTTTTGGTCAAACGTATAAATATTTCTTATTGGACAAAAAATTACTTTTGTTTTATAATAAATTTTAGGCCATATTTTGTGGCGTTAGAGAAATATAAGCATTCGTTTCTAAACTTCCAACGTTTTGATGGCAAACAAACAGATTAAGTGGAAGTCAGCGTGCCTTGATAATCGAGTTACAGAATAGTACAATCGACTATCAGGCCACGCTGGACTCCTCAGTTGATTCAGCATAGCGTGATAATCGATTATGACATATGTGGTAATCGACTATCAGGCCCTGCGGATTCTTGGGTCTGAGTTGGCTTCACTGATAATCGATTATCACATAGGCAATAATCGATTATCAGGCTTCTCTGAACATAGGACTTTCTGAACAAACCAACTTGACAATCGATTGTCATAGGGTGACAATCGACTATCACAGTCTGCGGGACTTTGGGGGCAGAAGCTGCACAGCATGATAATCGATTATCAATAGTAGACAATCGATTATCAGCCAGTTCTGAACCTAAGGCCATCATGTTGAACACATTGTAATCAAACCCATATGTATGCGTTAAATTTAACTTCTTTCTTCAATCAATGCATTCAATTCATCATGTTCGTCCTAGACGCATGTCCTAGGGTCATCATCATGTGCATACCGCTGTAGGGAGGTCAGGCTTTCGTGCGCCTACTACAGTGGGCCCGTCCAGGAACCTTTGGGATCCAACGGGTTTTCATCAGGTGGGCTTTGTGTACGTACATGGTAGTCAAGCTACGGCTACCACCCAGTTTTGCTAGTTCACTTGCGACGTTTTGTCGAGCCCGGCTCATTACCGGAGTGCAGGGGTGATCCTGTCAAGTGAGACTAAGTCCGAGGTATCATGCATCAGGTCATACCGTCATCATGTATGTTCATGTCACGTCAACACTCAATGTGATTGTCATCATCATGTATGTTCCCATCATGTCCATATTCAATGTGGTAGTACATCATTTAGTTATATGTAATAGTATCCCATCAAGTGCAAATTAATCAGTTAGAAAACATGTGGTTTTCCGTACGTTAAGTACAAGTATTTATATGTGTATAAACATATGGGTTATCACTTTATGTTCTTTTGTTAGATTCACTCCTCAGCTTTTGCTGAGCGTGTAGTTGTTTTTGCTACACGCAGGTGGTCACGACGATACAGTGCTAACCCTGGAGGACAGTGATGATGGGAAGATGGGTGGCGCACGGACAAGTTTAATAATTAAATACATTTAATAAAGTAATCATTTGGGCAAGAACCCACCATTTGTCGTTTTACTTATTTTTGACTTATTTATTTACTTCCGCTTTTACTCTGCTTTTATATCATATACATTTGGGGTTAACTCCCTAGCATTTATTCAATCAATTAAAGCACAACCGTTTTCAAAATAAATGGACATTAATGTTCTTTTCTCTACGAACGGTTCTCGGACCGTTCATGTAACCCTACCGGTCCGTTGGGTCGCGGGTGAACCGGGTCCACGGAAGGCGGGTGTTACACTGTCATATTGCTGACCGGTTCCCTAGGCGCACTTCTGAAAGGTAACCATGCAAGGATAGGCAGCGGAAATTAAAAATTTTAACATCCTAACATGATTATCTTGCCCAGAATCACGTAAGAAATTTGTACCTTTCTCCGTAAGCGGTAAAAACGAAGAAGTCGTAGGAAGAGCGTTGAAAGTGCAAACGTAACCGTTCAAGCGTCCGGTCTCTAACTTTGACACACGAACAACGCCGGAGTCTACCACAATCTTTATGCTAGTAAAGATTATAGTAGTATAAAATATAAAGATTAAAATTGGGATAATAATAATCTTGTATATTTCTATAGAAAATATTTCCAATAATATTTAGAAAATATTATAGATATTTTCTATACACAAAATGATATATGTGGAACCAAAATAATATTTTCTCTCACTAAATTGTAATGGCCGAAACTCAAAGAAAAAAAAAAGATTTTCTTCTCCACTTGTTTTAATGGTGCGTGAGGTGCATATATAGAAAACAAATATTAATCTTTGTCATTAGCTAAATGACAAATCAATTAACTCCACTAAGTAATCAATCAATGAAATTTTATTCTTCACAATCTCATCATGGCCGAATGAATGATATGAGAAGGATTTTCAAAATTCTTCTCCACTCAAATGTTCAAAGTGTATTTTATTTGACACCAAAAATTAATATAAAATTAATTTTAAATCAAATAAAATACCAATATCATTTTTAAACAAGTATACAAATATACTTTAAATAGTTTATGTCAAAATAATT